GCGCGCGCGCACACACACACACACACACACACTCTGGGACTGTCATACAACTGTCATGCAACTGAGTACAACTGTCCTACAACTGTCATACAATTGCCATGCAACTGCCATACAACTGTCCTACAACTGTTATACAATTGCCATACAACTGCCTTATGACTGCCATACAACTGTCAAGCAACTGTCATGCAACTGCCGTACAACTGCCATCGATTCTCATTGCTACTCTCTGTTCGCTTAGGTTCGTGGAACGCTGAAGAGCTGGACGAAGCAGTGGTGTATCCTGAAGCCGGGACTGCTGCTGCTTTATAAGAGTAACAAGGTGAAGGTATATGCTGCGCTGCAGCGCATCAGGGTACTGCTGTGCTTTCCACTACTAACAACAGCCGTCGGTTAAGTCTAGCTAACGCACTAGTCGGATGTCTAGCTAATGCACTAGTCGGAAGTCTAGCTAATGCACTAGTCGGAAGTCTAGCTAAAACACTAGTCGGACGTCTAGCTAATGCACTAGTCGGAAGTCTAGCTAAAGCACTATAGTCGGAAGTCTAGCTAATGCACTAGTCGGAAGTCTAGCTAACGCACTAGTCGGATGTCTAGCTAATCCACTAGTCGGAAGTCTAGCTAATGCACTAGTCGGAAGTCTAGCTAATGCACTAGTCGGAAGTCTAGCTAATGTACTAGTCGGAAGTCTAGCTAATCCACTAGTCGGATGTCTAGCTAATCCACTAGTCGGATGTCTAGCTAATCCACTAGTCGGAAGTCTAGCTAATGCACTAGTCGGAAGTCTAGCTAATGCACTAGTCGGAAGTCTAGCTAACGTACTAGTCGGATGTCTAGCTAATCCACTAGTCGGAAGTCTAGCTAATGCACTAGTCGGAAGTCTAGCTAATGCACTAGTCGGAAGTCTAGGTAATGCACTAGTCGGAAATCTAGCTAATGCACTAGTCGGAAGTTTAGCTAATGCACTAGTCGGAAGTCTAGCTAATGCACTAGTCGGAAGTCTAGCTAAAGCACTAGTCGGAAGTTTAGCTAATGCACTAGTCGGAAGTCTAGCTAATGCACTAGTCAGAAGTCTAGCTAACACACTAGTCGGAAGTTTAGCTAATGCACTAGTCGGAAGTCTAGCTAATGCACTAGTCAGAAGTCTAGCTAATGCACTAGTCGGAAGTCT